TTATTCCAAGTTTAGCAAAATTTATAAAAAAAATTAGCAACATTTATAACACAAAACAAACAAATTACCAAACATCTAGTAAAACTAATTTGGTAGTATAAATATTTCTAAATTCTTCTACAAACTTGATTCTAGTCAAGTTGTTCCAAGTTTAGCAAAGTTTATAAAAAAAAATATAGCAACATTTATAACACAAAACACACAAATTATCAAACATTTAGTTAAACTAATTTGGTGTTATAGATTTTTCTAAATTCTTTTGCAAACTTGATTGATGGTTTAACGAAAAAAAAGAGTCAAAGTTATAATATGAAATGGAGGTAGTTCTCGTTATTTCTCAATAATTGGGTTGGATCGATGGTCAACATTGCGTTGGGATTAACCGGGTATGGCTTAGCCAGCTCTTGCTTACAATTTTGGTTTTGATTGGGAGATGCACGCATATACTTCATATGTTTCACAATGTAAGAATTTCTAGCATTGTCCATATTTATATACTCCCTTCATTCCATAATATAAGGCACAACCACTTTTTTTTGATAATCCATAATATAACTATGGCCCATTCTCCATGAAATTATTACTTTTTTAAATCCTCTACTCTCATGTTCTCTAATTCTATTGGATGCATGCATTGTATTTATTAGGATGATACAAACTACAAGATGATACTACCTCCATATTTTAATGTATGACGCCGTTGACTTTTTGACAAATGTTTGACATTTCGTCTTATTCAAAAAAATTCATGTAATTATAATTTATTTTATTGTGATTTGATTTATCATCAAATGTTCTTTAAGCATGACATAAGTATTTTTATATTTGCATAAAAATTTTGAATAAGATGAGTGGTCAAACGTTGATTAAAAAGTCAACGGCGCCATACATTAAAATACGGAGGGATTAATAATTATTTCTTGGTCTTTGAGTTAGGGTTGGTTATGCCTTATATTTTAGAATGGGGGGAGTAGATGTTAATTAATCTATATACATATGTGGCTAGATTCATTAACATATACATACATATATATATATATATACATATATATATATATATATATATATATATATATATATATATATATATATATACATGCATACATATATACATACATATATACATATATACATGCATACATATATACATACATACATACATATATATATATATACATATATATATATATACATATATATATATATACATACATATATATATATATATATATATATATATATATATATATATGAGCAATGCTAGAAAGTTTTACATTGTGAAACGGAAGAAGTATATGCTTATGGCCACAGTTTGTTTAATTTGGTCCCCTTGGATCGAATTATGTGAAATGTATCCCATCTCTTCTTCTAATAATTAACTTAAAAATCTACTGCAACTTGATTCAAATATTCTTTTTTCCTTTTTGGAGGACACATTATCGTAGAGAAGAAATCAATTTCCAAGCTGCAAGTTGAACCAGAAAGGAGCTAGCTGCAGCTTAGCAAGCATAGCAAAGAAAATATGTCAAAGAAGTACTTTGTTTTCTGTACTCAAATCCACCAAAATTGTACCCATTTGAGTTCACTGAAAATGAAGAAAATTACTACCATTCCTCCCGTACACTTGCAAGCTGGGCCAAACGAGGAACAGTTTCTACAAACCAAATCCAGACTCATCATACTTTCTCCCATCTATTTAGATTTAGTTATTATAGTATAAAGATATTTTATTTTATACGAGATGGTTTTATTTTGGAAGGAAGGACTGTCCACGTCAGTAAAAGGACGACCTGACCTGTACGTCCACCCATGCATTTCAGAGACAGACGAGAGCACAGATGGGCCAGTGGTGGGGTTGGGCCGACACAAATTAAATTCAACTGAAATACAATGACCCACCCGACCTGACCACAAAGCACGGGCCCATCAATTTCCCTTTCCCCCCCTTCTTTTTATAATCTGTATGTCACAAACAATAATACTACTACTATTAAAATTCCGTTTGAAGTGGCTATAATTTGATCTGTAAAAGAAAACATATACAACCATTAATTGTAAGTTTTTGGTTTTGTAATAAAACAACCATAACACAACATAGCAACCACAAACTGAGCATAATAAATTAAGATATATATAGGATTTTTCATGTGATCTATTTTTAATATATATAATTGCATTAATATATATATATTTATAAAAATACATATGCACTTGTTAAATATACATTCGTGTCCATCTCTCTTCCATTCCATCAACATGTTGATTTTTGTTGGTTCTCATAACCCTATGTCAGTAATGTAACTAATCATAGTATTCGAGTCACCTTCATCCTTCATCCTCCAAACTAGGGGAGGCAACAAGAGAGAAATTAAAGAGAGAGAAGAGGGTGGTGGGGGTAGGGGGTAGCCCGGGCTTATCAGCGATTGCGACGACGACGACACTCTCCTTGATGATCGATCTCTTCATCTTTCTCTTTACTAACAAAACCTAAATTATGACAAAAAACCTACTAATTAGAAGTTAGGGGTGGGTTAGGGGAAGATGAGGAGGGTGGTTCACCGGGATTTAGAGGGGTGGCCAGGAGACTATATCAGAGAAGGGGAAGACGGGAAGGGTGAGGAAACCTGCGGCCACTCAGGCATAAGCATAAGGAGGAGGAGGAAGGGTGGAGTCTGGTGAAATGTGCCAACGCTATTGGTGACTTATGAAGCCTGCGAGCATGGGTGACAAATGTGCGGGGCAAGGTGGAGAGGCCAAATGCATTACGAGGAGGAGAAGAAGGGACGGGGAGAGGATAAGGTTATTGTGCCGCACCTATACAAATCTTGGCATGATCAAAGCCGTCACAAAGTGAAAGTGGCTGAAATTTGTAGGTATTTTTATATCACTGAAAACTAGAGTGCTCCTTCTTTAAAAGTGGAATTATATTTATAACATATTGCATTTTCTTCTATTTTACAAATCCAATAGCATTTTGTACACAACTGCATTGATCAATCTGGATTGTTATAATCAAAACTCAACATAGATAGACCACATATATATATACCTCTCCTCTTTTTTCCCCTTTAGATAATGAGATATATATGTTTACACCTAGAGCAAAATGTAGCAGTACTAGTTTTTTTTTTAATCTTCTAAGTCTTATTTTTCATAATAAAATACTCAAGGCAGATAGACGGATGGATTGCGTGCACATGCATTTGTGTGTGTTTCAGGGATGGAGGGCCAAATTGCTAGCTGTCCTAGTAGCACTAGTAGTCATCAGAGAGCGTGTGAGTCATGAGAGTCACACACACAGAGCCAAGGAGAAGGAGGGCCTGCTGTCCTGTTGCTGCAGCTGCACGACCTGCCTGCCTGCAGTGGATGAGTGGCAAAAGAAAGAAAGAAAGAAAGAAAAAGGTAATCGGCACGCACTGTTGAGGCCTCCAACTCACAGATCTGGTCGCTTTGCATTGCATTGCATTGCTTTGCTAGCATTGCTCAGCATTCATGACATGTTAACAATGTTAGTAGCAGCATATGCAGAGTGTAGTAGTATACAGTATGTAACAGCATGCATACTCCTAGATGCTTGATTAATGTGTCTTGTAGTTAAGTTTGTAGTAACTGATGATATTTACAGGACAGTAAATAGAGTATAGTACTAGCTAGTAGATAGGTGGAGGAGTAAAATGGAAGAGGGGTTGGTTGCATTTGCATGGGTGTGGTGTTCGTGTTGGCAGGCGGAGAAATGAGGGTAGTACTATCAACCGAAAATGTACGGGCGGGCAGCAGATCCATGCATGAACCAATTAACGTGGCCAACAGAATCTCGCACGTGCGCCGCATGTGGCCCGCCCGTCACATCTGCTCTCTACTCTGCTCTCTGCTCTGCATCTCAAGCTCTACTACGTTGTGCACACTGCCCTTCAATTCGCCTGCCAATCCGCCATAGCATCGACATGAGCATCAGCATTAGCAGCTGCTCGATCGATGATATCAGATACTCCTAGTCATAGCATATACTACTCCACTACTGGAGTAGTATATAGGAGCATGAATGCATGCATTAATCTGATAAGCTAGCTACAGACAGATAGTAGTACGTACAGATCATGCAGTCACTAGTACGTTGGTCAATCAATTAGCGGCTTGATTAAAGCAGGCGTCAACGCCCAAGATATATACTCCCTTCGTCCCAAAAAAAATAAACCCTAGTTTCCGTGTGCAACGTTTGACCGTCCGTCTTATTTAAAAAAAATATAAAAAAAATTAAAAAGACAAGTCACGCATAAAATATTAATCATGTTTTATCATCTAACAACAATGAAAATACGAATTATAAAAAAATTTCATATAAGACAGATAGTCAAAGTTGGACACGGAAACCTGGGGTTTGACTTTTTTTTTTTTTTGACGGAGGGAGTAAGTCCTAGACCGACCGACGACTAGCTAGTCAATTGATTGAAATGGAAGAGATGAGTACTTTGCATTGCATTGCACTGCACACTAGAGTGAGTGAGTGAGTGGTATTTAGCGAGGAGGAGCGAGTAGGTGAGGAAGGCATATGCATGGGGGGCCGGGCCGGAGGAGAAGGACGACACTTGGTCTACGCACACATGCTTCATCTGATCAACTCGCCCTGCCTCCTTCTCACTCAGCTCCCCCCCGGGACTGGACCATATACTCAGTAGAGTATGTATTATTCTTCTGCCTATCTACGGCTACGACCAACCATTATTCACTCATTAGCAGACACCAATGCCCCCACACCTACTGTACTCTACTCCCTTTCTTTCCTCTCCTCTCCTCTGGATTATTATTGGTACTCTTTGGATTATCGGTCCATCATCAATCATGATGATGATTCAAATCCCTAGCATGCATCCATCCGTGTCATGCTCATGCATGCATTGACTCATTTTTGGCTTCAGTCGTCGTCACTCAATTGACTGCCTCCACTCTAGCTCTGCCTGCCTGCCTCCAAATACTGAGAATTACAGACAGCCAGATCGATATATATACCATTGGCATTTCATAAATATTTAACAGAAATCAGCAAGCACAATTCATCGGCTAGCTCCAAAATCAACATTCCCGGACGACTAGCTCACCTCACCTTTATATACATTACATACTTGGACTAGCTGATCGACTAGGTAGCTAGGAAGGAACTAAATAGATAGTAAGAAGATGAGAATGCTAGCTACTAGCTAGTAAGTATATACTTGTAGAGAGAGCAATGCAAGATTAATTACAGAAAGAACAAATTAAGATGCAGGCAGAAACACACAGAGATCGATGATGATGATGATGATGATGCATGGAGCTAGCAATGGAGTATTATGGAAGGGAAACAAATAAATAAAATTGAATCAAACTGAGCTAGAAGAAGAAGAAAAAGAAGAAGGAAGAGGAGACTGAGCTAGTAGTCTCGCCAGCAGACGAGCATGGAGACGCAGCGGCGGACGATGTAGAACCTCGCGCGATGCTCCTTCACCGCCTCCACGCACTTCTTCGACAGCCGCTGCGAATTGTTGCTCTGCTGCTGCTGCTGCTGATGCTGATGCTGCGAGCTGCTGCTGCTGCTGGCGCCACCACCACCGGCGCCGGCGGCGGACCAAGCGGTGGTAGCGTGCCTGCTGGCGGTGACGCTGGCGGAGTAGCTCCGGCTGAGCGTGGTGGCGTTGCTGCTGTTGAAATCGGAGGAGTGGTAGTAGTAGTTGCTGCTGCTGCTGCAGGATCTGCCCGATTTGCTCCTCCCCTTGCTGCTCGACAGCTTCCACCTCTCGTCCTCCATGGATATTAATTCGACCACACGCTCTAAACAATTACAACTACTCCAGTAGAGAGTGGGTGGCTAGCTGTGGATGGATTTATAGACGGGAGAATGAAGTTGGCAGATCGAGAATGAACTGGGGACTAGGAAGAAGAAGAAGAAGAAGAGCAAGAGCTAGGGACATCCAGCTGATGAGCCTGAGAATAATAACAATAAAAATGCAATGCAAAATGTGCAATGCTGATTGCGAGAGAGAGAGAGAGAGACTGCAGTGCAGTGGAGTAGTGGAGTGTGTGTGTGTGCTCTGCTATCTTCTGCTGGGAGTGGGAGTGGGTGGGACCCAATGAAACCAGTAGGAGTACTTGGGCTACTCACCCACCTCAGCCCGTTGGATCCGACAGCCGTGTGCGCGCCCGCGCCAATCTCAACGCACCAAGGAATCGTCACTCACCCTTTTTCACGTGTACCCTTCCAAAAAAACAACTTCATTTTCTCCTCCAACCTCTCTTCCGATTCATCAAATTATGTACCGTGAAAACAAGATTGACGGTGAGATGTCTAACCTCGATCACCGCCAAGGACTCTTGTGCCAAGTTTTGGATTTATTTTTGCAATATGTTTATTATGGGTCTATATGTGAAATAACTTTTTGCAAAGGGGAATAGTATAAAAAATAATCCAGTCCTTGTGTGTGTGTTGTTGATGTTGCTATGGTTGAGACAGACAGAAAGAGACCTATCCTACTCAGCAGCAGCAGGAGCTAGCTACCATTGCAGCATTGCATCTCATCGCTCATACTATATCGTTTGGCTTGGCTTTCGATCTAAAAATTCTCTTGGTACCTACACCTACCAACCGTAGTACTCACACCCAGTGTACCAATAACCACTACTAGTCCCTCATGCTTTGCTCTGCATCACATCGATCTCTCTTTGCTAGCTGCCGCTGCTGCTACTGCTAGTCGTCCAGTGTAGTCAAGTGTCATCTCTCTTTCTGAATCATCACATGATTGCCAATGTGTTCCCTACCTTTCTTTCTTTCTTTCTTTTCTTCTTCCTCTTCTTCTTCTTCCTCCTCCATCCACCAAGCTTGTTATTATGTAGCCGTTGCACTTTACCACCATGACGTACGTACTCCTGTCATTCCCAAGCTAAAGCCTTTCTTTTCTTTTCTTTTTTTACTTTTATTGCCCTTTGGCGCCTCTCTAGTTTCAATCAAAATGCAAGTGCCACATTCACATGGATGAGTGCAGGAATATATACATGCATCAATGTGGCAAATAATTCTTTTCACAGTATTAATTTGCAGAAAGGAGGGGGAAAAATTAAAGATTGAAAATGCATAGCCGAGCTCATGCATGCACTTTTGATCTGGTATATGTCACATCCTGCATGGGTCAACATTATTAAGCAACTGACACTATAGTAAAAAAAAAAGAATCAAACTCCTACTATATATATACATTATTGAGCTAGCTATAGAGAGTCGACCGATCGATCGGCGTGATAATGTATTTTTTTTCGAGGATTAGATTAGATGGGAGAGCAGTATGGTTAATATGTAGCAAGTGACAAGCTTTGTGAGACATTTGCATGCAGGGGGAAACTAAAGAAAAGGAAGGAAAATGTTGGTGTGGGGGAGGAGGGCTATCACTATCAGCAGTGTAGTGCAGGCGATAGGAACAGAAAATTTGCAGAGAGGACGATCTCGATCAATGGAAGAGGAGACATCCATATATGTAGGCCAGGTAGGGTTGGATCCCATTGCTTCCTACTCCCTCCGTCTTATAATATAAGGGATTTTAAGTTTTTGCTTGCAATGTTTGACCACTCGTCTTATTCAAAAATTTTTGAAATTATTATTTATTTTATTTATGATTTACTTTATTATCCGCAGTACTTTAAGCACAACTTTTTGCTTTTTATATTTGTAAAAAAAATTTGAATAAGACGAGTGTTCAAACGTTACAAGCAAAAACTTAAAATCCCTTATATTATAAGACGGAGGGAGTACAAATTATGCATATGTATTATATATATACATATTGTTTCCCCCACTGCAGCTAGCTAGTAATGACTGATTAATTACTTAAAACTAATCGCATCTCATCGATGCACACACACAAGGAGGACGACGACACTGTCAGATGAGCGCCGAATATATACTCGATAAAAGTGAAAAGCAAAGGTTTTTATAGGGAAACAAGGAAGAATAATTAAGGGAAGCAGAGAAATTAAGCTGTCAGTCAGCAGGGGCGGAGACAGCATGGGGGCAAGGGGATCTTTAGACCCCCTACCTCCTAATATACCATTAAAGCCCCCATAATCTATATATTTATAGATGAGGGGCTAATATAGACTTTGTTTGAGGTTGTTAGAAGGCCCAAAAGACTAAGAAGGCCCAAAAAGTTTTAAAACCAACCCTAAATCTCTCTTAGTTGCTCTTGGTCATTTTGATTTAGCCCCCGTTATAATTTTATCCTGGCTCCGCCACTGTCAGTCAGTATGAATATAGAGCAGTTTTAATAGTGTATATAGTCAATTACTAACTCTAAATTATTGATAGTCAATCTAATAATCTATTTATCTACAAGTATATATTACACCATTAATACACGGTATCACTTTTCATAAATACATAGTTTTAAAGTTGGTGTTGTAGCTAGCTACATAAATATGTAGTCCAATTTTCTTTGTTATCTTCTTCATATGTATTAATTTATACTAGTTGGTAATAATTGCTGTAATTGCGACGAACTGAAGCTGACCGAGCAGGGACAACAGTTGCAGCTAGCGAAACCGAATCGATGCCGGCACTGTGCTCGAGGATGTAGCAGTGTCGGATCCGGCCGGTTTGAGCTTAATTAGCGTGCTTAAAAATTGTTTAATGCCTGACCAGTTAGTCACAGCAATCTCTAGATCATGGCACTGCACTATGCGTAACAGTAGATGATACTACTACTACATCCATTTCATTTTCCAAATGGGTTGGGTTGTGTACAAATGTACAATGTGGCATGTGGGGTTGGGAGGAATAAAGTCCACTTTAACTCCCTCAGTTATATGTCCTATCTGAATCGTATCCCTCAACCACAATACCATATATTTTGACCCCTCAACTGGTCCCATATGCTGTCTTACTTAGTTAGATAAGGTCAACGATCCATGTCAGCAAAAACCCGAGAGAATTGTTTTGCACCCGTTTTTATAGTTGAGGGGTTATGATATCTAATCTAATATTGCGGTTGATGGATACAAATCACATTAGTACATTCTTTTAGGGCGACAAAGTGGACTTGTTCCGGGATTGAGACAAATGGCTGCTATTGCTGTTGGGCTAAAATTCAAAATAGTCCCTCGCTAGAAAATTTCCAAATGGGCTTTTTACAGAATCTTTAGTACGGACTATTGCTAGGTAAGGCCCATGCACAGATTGTGGGTTTGTGGGCCTAGTACTCCTACTCCAGTCTAGTAGTGAGCTCAAGAAGAAGAAGAAGAAGAGACGAGACAAGAAGTCAGAATCAGAAGTGAGTAGTCTACAACGTTGTACAGGATCGATGAATGATACAGGCATGTATGCGTATGTATTAAGTACATATATATACATACGTACGTACTACTCTTAGTCCTAGCTTAGCTACCTGTGTAATGCTACGGATAGTAGAGTACGTACGTACATATACGACGTGTCGACATGAATATTGTAACGTCACTCCTGATATGATGTGCTTTATTTATTGCGAAAAGAAGAGATAACTATACTTGTACAGTGGTCTACTGGAGTATATAGTACGTACGTAGTGTCGTAGTACGTTACATATATACTCCCTCCGTATTTAAATATTTGACGCTTTTAGTTTTTCTAAACATATTTAACCGTCAAAAACTTTTATAAATATTATTTAAAAACTTAAGTAGTACTAGTATATTTATTAAATGATAGGAAAAGAATTAATAATTATTTAATTTTTTTAATAAGATAAACGGTTAAACATGTTTAAAAATTTTAACGGCGTTAACAGATGGAGTACATGAAGTGCCAATGTGATATCGATCGATCCATATATCCGGCCGCCATGTAAAGTCGAGGAGCATAGTATAGTACGGATTAGTAGTATCTTGCTAGGTAGTATAGTCGTAGCTCTCACTAGGTAGCCAGGAGCCCAGGACCTGAGTTGTTGACACAATGCAAGTTACTGTAGCTAGCACCTGTGATGATGACCCTACCTGCATGTATATACTACTCCTACTACGTACCCGGATACTTTCTCGGTCACAAAATAATTAGCTTGTAATAAGATATGTTATTTACTAACGCAATAGGATCTAGATATATGCCTCTATCAGAATTTTTTATAGTAGAAAATGTTACATTCTACTTATTTTAGATAGATTGTGACATTGCGTTAAGTATATACTTATTACCTGGGATGAGATGGATCGATCAATGTTAGCAATGTTAGCAGAGCTTAGTACTTATAATTTGGAGTGGAGTTGTGAACCATATGGTTGATAGAGATCGATACTCCTATATGGCTGCAAATTACAACAACTCCTACACGTACGTACTGTATGCTACAGTGCTCTACCGCGTAGTACGTACAGTATATAGCTGCAGGAGCAGAAGTACATACAGTATATACGTACAGTAGTATGTACGTACGCAGCTAGCTGGCAGCATTGATCGATCAGCATACATGTCGTATCGAATTGAAGCCCGTAGAATGCGCGACTGGATTTGATTGATTCCCCCCACCGCATCAATCCTACTAGCCTTTTTTGCATGCATCCATCGCTACAGGACAAAAAGAAAAGTCAATGTTACTAGCTCCTTGCTGTGGAGTATAACTTGCACACTGTTTTTTCTCTCTCTTTTCTAAATAATGATGTTATACCAGTAATAACTTACTCTATTTAATTTGTTTTTAATATATAGCACCATATACTTTTTAAATATGTTTAACCATTCAACTTATTTGTTATGACTTGTGAAGTCCTCCCTAGCTAGCTTAGCTAAGTCATAACCAGTCCTCCAAAAAGGAATACATATATGCAACTGAAAAAAAAAATCAAATGTGAGTGAATTAATTTCACAAATTAACCTACACTAAATTATATGGCCAATCTAGATATAAACAAGTTTATTGAAATAAGTTCTTACCTGCTAGTCAATGTGTCACAGAAAGAGGGAGGGAGGATCACTCTCGCCGGCGGCGTTGGTACAATTAAGCTGATGCTTAGTCATTAATTTCCGATGCAGCATCATCAAGATTCCCACACATATATACACATGCGTTTAATTAGCTTCGATCTCTCTCTTCTCTCTCCATGCGTGCAACCATGCATCATGCAGGTCAGGGCCAGGAGAGAAATATTAGCTAGCTAGGT